ACAAGTATCTGGCGTTCAGAGATCTGAGTATGAGATGTTCAATGAGTAGAAAGCAGGATACAAACTATTTGTTTTATGTCAGTGCACTTCATTTAGGGAGGGACAGTATGAAAGATTCTTGAAAGCGTTTTTTTATAAACAAGCGTAAGAATGCGTGGCCAAATAAATTCTGAATGACGTATGTTTCTTCTGATGAATTTCCACAACTAAGGAAATGTAACAGAAATATTACCACTTTTTTTTTATTTATTTATTTTTATTTTTTTTTTTGGGGGGGGGACCACCTTACATCACGGAAGCTGGATGCTCTGTAATGACCAACTCCAAGTCCAAAAAACCTAACGCTTTGAGTGGTGAACATTGCAAAAATCTGAGGAAAGCAGCTGCTACGGACGACGGAGAACTAGATCTACCTCAAATTAAAAATAAAATTGAATAGTTTTTCTAAAAAAAAAGTTTTTATTTTTTTTTTTTTATTTAAAGGAAAAAAAATCATCCTTCTTTAGAGATGTCATGTACGGTCTTCGGCTTGGTTGGGGGGGNGGGGGGGGGGGGGGGGGGAGAGAAACACACACTATATGGCCCACGTCGTCAAAAAGGTTGGACAGCACTGTCCTAAAGTTTTCACGGACAAGACATTCGAGTTCAGCTTTGTAATGACAGTCTTCTTCTTCTTCTTCTTCTATATCTTAAGGGCCCACGATCAATTTATTGATCATTTTGGCTCCTATGCATGTAGAGGGGATTTGCAATGTTTCTGTTACGGACAGTTTGCAGGGGCGTCATTTCGTTTTTTTAAATTTTTCAACAAAAACAGAAAGGGGTGGGGGGGTCCAAACCAAAGCCTGGTTTGGCTTGTTAAGTTGTTTATTACTGTAGGTGCCACAGTATATAGCAATTTAAATAAAACCTGCAAATTCAGGCGGGGGGGGATGCTCATTGTTACGAAAGAGCAACACCTGGCTAATCCATGGAAAGATGATAGCAGCTAGAAACTACACTATACTTGTCAGCTTTACTAACAATAATGATATTTATACTTCCACAAACAATTATATTTAGTCTTGAACAACCTTTTAATTGATTCTGCATTATAAAATTTAAGTGTAAAAACTTTTTAACTTGTAGATTAACAAGCTAAACATGGCATGAAATGTTTTTTCCTACAATTTTATGTCCATAAAATAGATCAGCACAAAGTAAAATGTATTTATAAATGTATTTATATTATAATTCAAGATTTTTATTTTTTGGGGGAGGGATGGTGGTTATAAAATGTTGACATAATTAAATTGGGGGGGGGGGGTCACTGAAAGTTTGACGGTTAGTTGTTGAAAAGGTGTCACTGAAAGTTTGACAGTTAGTTGTTGACAAGGTTGGGGGGGGGGAGGTAGGAGGTCAACAATTGCGTAAAAATTGTTGACGTAATTAATGGACGACCCCTAAGTAATTTCTTTCTACGCTATCATATGCTGTTTTGTAATCCCCCTATAGTTGGTGTATGTCGATGTTATACTCGTAGCATTTCTCCAGGAGATATCTAAAAGTAAAAATATGATCCGTGGTTGACCTATTCTGCCGGAATCCGCATTGGTAGTCCCCTAGGATCTTTTCACTACACCTTTCCAGTTTTTTTACTTTTAGTTTTGTGAGGATTTTGTACATTACATTAAGGAGGAAGATTCCTCTGTAGTTTGAGCAAACCAACTTAGATCCTTTTTTTTTTTTTGTGAATTGGGTTTATGAGTGCAGTGTCCCATTCTGTTGGCATTTCGTCCTCCTGCCAGATTCTGGATATGAGGTCGTGATTTGCCTATGCAGTTCTTTACCACCTAGGTTTATCAGTTCTGCATAAATAAGGTCTATTCCTGGGGCTTTGTTATTTTTCATGGTGATGATCACATCTTTTATTTCATTTAATGTTGCTTGGTTGACCGGTGGGTCCGGTCCTCCTTGTGGTATATAGAGCGTAATCCTCATTGGTTCCTTCACCTGAGCCATTCAGTAAGCCTTCAAAATGGTGTGCCCATCTCTCTTGTACTCTGCTGCTCTCTGTGATCAATTCTCCACCCATACTTTCACACATGTGGGATCTTGCTTGTAAGCCATTCTTTTCCTTCTTTATCTGCAGGTACATTCCCCTCACATCTCTGACTTTTGCCAATTCTTCTATCTATATGGAAAAATAAAAAATAGTATACTATTTTTTTTATTTTTCCCCAACACGTTTTTTTCTTTCTGCATATTTTGCTAGCCACCCTTCTTGTTGCATTAAATAATTGCCATCTTGTCTCCCTTTTGCAGCATCATTAGCCTAGCGTTATTTCTTTGTTCTATAAGTTCTTTGCATTCTGCACCATGCCATCCAGTTCTTTTCACTATCAGTTGAAATCCAATGTCACATTAAGAAATGGCGTCAGCGGGCCGTCGAGCTTAAAGCTCTTTATGCCCTCCCCAAAGCACCCCTTAAGCCCGGTATTGGGCCGCGAAGCGGCACGTTGGAGATGTCCTTTTGCCAGGACAGCCCCCACCCGAGTCCGCTCGACCGGGTTCCGCTGGAGGCCACCCCAACCCTAAGACACTCCGTCGGTCCGACACTGTGTTTGCACACAGTGCACTCGATCGACTTTCTCAGGAGTCAGGATGGTAAATTTACGTCCTAAAATCTTCCTCCACGGTGAAAGCGTTGGACGCCCCATAAGAGGGATTCTACAGTGGGTTTCCACAACGCAACTAATTTGCGAAGTTGTTCGGACGAAACGGTTGCCTTGGAACAGCTTCTCAGGGCTGCATAGTAAGAATCATCGGCCAGAGTTTACCACCTTCGCCTCATATCCATTAACGGCAACTTGTAATCTTGATCCAATCGTTTCCCCTGTTACACTCTTTACTATTTGCTTCATCTCTTCCCACTGCTGGTTTATATCAACGTGGCTGGCTGATTCCCTTTTGGATAACTCTAGTTGAGTTTCAATCTTCTGTTGACATTCCTCAGTTATTTTAGGGTCCCTGCTTGATTTCTGGCTTTTGTACTGTTTTTCTCTTTTATTTTGTTTATTGTGGATGTTACAAATTCTTTGTTTATATTTGATTCTTACAAGTATGTAGTCTGAGTCTATGTCCGCCCCTCTACAACTTTGCACATCTGATATGTCCGAGCCATGGCTCGGATCAATGAGTACATGGTAAATTTGATTACGGGTAAATCCATCTGGAGGTATCCATGTCGTTTTATGTATTTGTTTGTGTTGGAATATGGTGCTACTGAATGTCAATTCCTTTTCCTGTAGCGAAGTCTATAAGACGAGTTCCGTTGTCATTGCTATAATCATGCAGACGTTCCTTTCCGATTGTTGGTCTGTAAGTGTAAGCGGGCTCTTTCCCAATTTTCGCATTGAAATCGCCAAGGACTATTGTGGTGTCATGGGGTGGTTCCTCATCAAATACTCTTTCCAGTGTTTCGTAGAAAGTTTCCTTCATGCTTTCACCTGTATCGTCCTTTGGAGCATGAGCGCAGATTAACGTGATGTTAGACATTGTTCCTCTTATCCTTATGGAGCATAATCTTTCACTCATTGGTTTAAACCCAAAATGACTTCATTTACTGTCTCCCTTTTGACTGCAAACCCTGTTCCTAACGTGTTTGTGTTGTTTCCACTGTAGAATATTTCTTAGCAATTCGTCACTGAGGCAAGCCATGCTCCCAATCTGTACAGACTAAGTACTTTACAGGTCGCTATCCGTATATCATATTTTTGTTCAGGCATAGGTTGAAATCCAAATTATCATTCCGTTTTTTTGTTTGTGGTTAAGTTTTTTTAACACTTGCTTTTTTGGGGGGCGGGGTCGTCGGCCCGGCCCACAACCGTTGGGGGGGGGGGGGGCCTTGCATCTCTCAGGGTAGCTGCTTTTGTATTTGGGTCGGATCCCTTGTCTTTGTGGATCACCACACTTCCTAGAAGGCAGTAGGTAATGATTTTGGTCCATCCCGGGTATTTTATTTCCCCGGTACCCGCCATATCTGATGGGCTTTCCCCTATCCGCCACCTGGGGAGGCGCTCGATAGGAGATCAGCATCTCCTCACGAGACTAATGTTGTATTGGGTGACAATTTTGTTACAATCTACAATATATATATACATATATATTTTTGAAATAAAAACCAACAATGCTTTTTAGTGTGAGAGAAGAACCTGATACTTAAAAAATACATTTTCAACATTTGGCATCAATTTAGTTAGGTTTAATCTCTAATCTCCTCGGTTAATGATGTCCAGTTTTTTTTTAGGAGATTGGTAACTGCGCTGAAACCCCTTTCCACTAGGTATGAGGATGGAAAAGCAATTAAAAACTGGTTGACCCCCATTTTCATTTCATAGAACCCTAAATTTTGTTTTCGCTGACATGGATCCCTTGCAAGTTGTCGTCGACCCCTGGGGGTTGATATAGACCACTTTGGGAATCACTGGTTTAAACTATCTCCCTCAGATATTGCAACCATTGGAGAAAAATGAATCGCTTCCCATCCAGTGATTATTTCAGAAAATTTCCCCCGGGGAGCACTTCAGATTTTTTCGGGGGGGNTTGGACATATTTTTGCTCGGGGGGGCACTTGGCGTTCCCGGGGGGGGGGCACTGCCCCCCCCCCCATAAAGCTGAAAGAAACCCTGCTTCCAACGTTTTTCTTCTCATATTTCTTACTAATTATTACATTTTTTTTCCAGAATTTAATTTCCCATGATTTTTTTAGTTTGTACAAAATATTCCCCAGATTTAGGAAAATTTCCCAAGGCATGGTCACTCTACTTGTAACGTAATAGAAATGGTTTATTTTCTACCAACCTGAAATAAACCTAGCGAACGATACCTTTTTAGATTTAAAAAAAACACATCAAAATGATTATAAGTTAAAGAATGATTAATATATAATGAATATACGACTTAATCAATTTTTGCGACATAAGAAATGACTTGTAGACTTCGGAAAAGAACTGTTTTGCGGCATTTGGTTATTTTGACTCGAAACCGAGGCTCATTACCATAATACATTACGACCACGAAATAATTAGTAGGAGAGAAAGTGTAGTCCGTTACAAAGAGAAGTTTTGCCGTTTTCTTTGGTCTGAGTGGTTTATAAGTTGTATCATTTTTGGATCTAAATTGCAGGTAAGCATCATAATTTACGTTGATAACATTTATTTTTGGTCTGAAAATATATTTTTGATGCTGAAAACGAACAGTGAGCATAATAAATTTAAAACAGACTAGTAAAAATAAGATAATTCAAGAGCTTTGCCCAACTCGAACTGGAGAAAAGTGAGGATGTCAACGACTAGCAGGGTGTGGCATTTATGAGTTGTCGATATTTGGATTTCATGTACCACTGTGGATGAGTGGTTGTTGTGCTCATTTCTGGTGGGCCAAATTGATTTTCTAGGTCTCAATTGCCGTTAATGCCCATTCATTCATTTTAAAAAGTTTCCATAATAAATGAAGTTATTTAATATAGCCTGCCTGCCTGCCTCTGCCTAATACTAATAATACTAATAAGTAAATAAAAATGTAATAGTAAATTTCAGCTCTAATCTAATCATTAAAATGCAATTCATTAATACCAAATTTATGGTTTTATGTCAATTCTAAAGAAAAAGTAGGCATATCTTAAAAGCAAGAGAGACTACTTAATAATTTGTATTGGAATTTGGACTCAGGGCAGAAGAATCCAAGTTTTTAATTTGTTGACGTTGGTGCTTTTTCATTTGTGAAAGAACTATTTTGTCATAAAATTGTTATTCATCTACACATTTACAGTAGTGGACATTTTTGCCTACTCCTACATTTCAAATAGTTAATTTTTGCGTAACAATCCACAATTGAACAACGAAGTTTCTATGTGTCCGGGGCGCCGGACAAATAGTGCGGGAGATATACTTCCGGTGGACATGTCACGTGACCGCCGGACGACTAGTTCGCATTATTATGCCGACAGGTCATGTGACAAGTGGTTGCCATCAAAATAGTTGCATTGCATTTGATATTCCAATATTGTGTGTATATATAATATAATATATATATATTAGTCAGCCAATCCCTGGATGCTCCGAGATACATAAAGTGTTTGACTTTGAATATTAAACCAGTCGGCCTATATACTAGGGGTGTGCCGGATCCGTTTTTTCCAACCGGATCCGGATTTTCTTATGCGAAATCCGCCGGATTCCGGAATAATCCGGTTTCTCCCGGATTCCGGATTTTGGTACTATTGGTAGATACTTCGGTAAGTCAAGGTAGACTACTACTTTTTGTGTATAGGAATTCGCAATCGGCGCCAAAAAATCCGAGTTTTTAATTTTCCGATGTGTGTGTCTATTTATTATTAAATTAGTACTTTCGATATATATTTGAGTTCCGTTCCATTTGGGTAAGTGTCTTACGAGAGACGCCATGTTTCTACGCGTTTGCAGCAGGTCATGCAGCTCGCTCAACCTAATTTCGCCATGGGGTTGGCCACGCCCCCCTTTTTAATGGCGGAAGTTGACGATACTTAGGAAATATTAATTTGTTATCACTATTTACATCAAAATAATTGATAACTTGTGTTTCAGAATGCATTTTAAAGACATTTAAACTGGAGAGTTTTAATTTGAGCTTTAACAACCCGGTAGAATCCATATTATAAATGATCAGAATTTACCGTGTGCAACACGTTGTCATTGGCAACCATTCACAGCCACTTGCATAACTGTATCGTAGTACTACCTCAGAGTTTCATTCATAAGAGTTTGCCGTGTGCAAAAACTATTAAACCATTGGTCAGGGAAAGCTTTAATTAATTATTCATGTGCCAAAGTTGAAAGTTTAAACTAAGTCTAAACAGTATTTTAGTGATAAGGCAGGGAATGCGTTGCCTTATATAAACTATATAGTCATTGCGCATGACGGGATTGGCGGAATGAGATCACAGAATGTGGAGATGCAGGCCATGTTAAAAAATGACAAACCAAGTCGTACTTTAAAAATTCATAACTTTAAAACTACAACAGCTAAAAATATGATTTTGGTGTTATAATTCTTTAAAAAATTACCTCTTTTCAACTATGCCATTGGTTTATTTTTACAAAAAGTTTAAATTTTCTAATCAAAGTCCCTACACTATTGGCCACTATTAGCGGTGCTGACTCTACCCTCTGGTATGTTCGGAATATTAAACATTAAACAAGCTCAACGCTCGAAACAATCGATTAATGTATTGTGATCGTGTGGAATTCGGGAAAGAGAATTACTTTTATTTCAGATTATGATCCGGTGAGTCACAAAATCTGGCAAATTCTGAAATCCGGTATATTCCGGATTCCGGTTGTTCCGGATACATGTAAATCCGGCGGAACCGGATTTCACCGGATAGTGCAAAATCCGGCGGAACCGGATTCCGGACCGGATTCCGGCTCACCCCTACTATATACTAACTAGTAGTCAGTAGTAGGCCTACTACTACTATTAAGTAGTAGGCCTACTACTACTATTACTAATCTATTTGATTCAGACTCTTCAAAGAAAAAAGTGCCATATCTTGGTTAACCATCTTGTAAAGCTCTACCTTGAAGCCTAAATTGAAAATATGAACCAAATAAAATAAGACCTTTGTCGATAACGTTGTATTTCAGGATTAGTATTTAGTATTGCATGAGAAGTAGGCTAAGCTACCACTATATCGGCTCTATATTAAGATGTAGGGTTTATTTCTTTGTGAACTTTCGGCCTCCCCACCTTAAACTTAATTATCACCCTCACTATTACTTTGTTACGGCGGTCATGTGACCTTGTCGCCGGACGAATATCTCGATAAAGTATTCTTCCGGCGGTCATGTGACTTGGTCGCCGGACAAATAGTGTGGGAGATATACTGCCATTGAACAAAGCGTAGAGAATCCTACACGGAAACCCGCAGTGGTGCAGATTGCTTAAACAAAGTGTCTACATGTCCATTGACCGGGCGAAGAAATTCTAGAGATATTCTTCCGGCGACCAAGCCACATGACAGCCGTAAAAAATTGTGAAAGATTTTTGTCGTCAGCCTTCTCACGAGACCGCTAATATTCTATCAGAAAAATGGCGTTGGAGATGCATGTGGGCGATGAGTTAACTTCATTTCAATAAATAGTGGGGGGGGGGGGGGGCGGGGGTTGAGCAATGGATACTGGAAGAAATACTGAGACTGAGAGCAAGAGATAAAGGATAAAAATGATATTGAAGGTGATAAATAATTAAAGCAGGGAGGCAGATAGTTCACAAAGAAATAGACCCTACATCTTAATATAGGGCTAATATAGTGTGCTGCTGGGGTAGCCTACTTCTCACACAATATTAATAGCCTAAAATAAAAAAAATTTGACATAAGTCTATTGAAAATCATCTTGCAGGTATTGGTCTTATTTTGTTTGGTTCATATTTCAAATTTAGTCTACTAGGTAGAACTTTCTCTCTTTTTTTTTTTTTTTTTTTGAAGAGTCGGATTCAAATAGACTAGTATATAGGCCTACTAGTATTATAATAGTTTGAATTCAAAGTCAAACGCATATAATATACTTTATATATCTCAGAGCATATGAAAATATTAAGATATTCAGTATTTATTTATTATCTAGGAATCAGCTGACTAATGTACACATTATTGGATTTTCATATACAATGCAACTATTTTGCCAGAAACCTCTTGTCACATGACAAGTCTGCTGGAATAACAACACCTACTAGTAGTCCAGCAGTCACATGACATGCCAGCCAGAAGAATATCTCCCATACTATTTGTTGGGTCGCCGGACGTGTAGGCACTGCCTTGCTTAAATTGACATTGGCAAGGAGTTGAGATAGAGTTTAAAAAAGAGCAGTGAATTGAAGTTAGAGTTTAAAAAAGAGCAGTGAATTGAAGTTAGAGTTTAAAAAAGAGCAGTGAATTGAAGTTATTCAAGGACTGATGAAGATAACAATTACAAACCATATATCTGTGATCCTCATAACATTATCAAAAGAGACACCATGATTTCAATTTGTAATATTATAATCTGAACAATATTCTCCAAAATATAGTTATGTATATCAAAGTGTTCACATGGAAAAAGGGAACAATAAAAGTAGCATTTTGAAGGGTGAACTCATGTGTCCATTAATAAAATTAATTAATTTTATATCGCTGAGAGAATAATTTGTTTAAAAAATGTATAATATTCAGATTATAATAGGCGCTTAAGTTTTTCTTGAAAAGATAATTTAAAGTTTCTTTCAATAATATATTCTTTCTGCTGTGTACCATACGTTTTTACAAGAAATGTACATAGGTTGTAGTCAGTCATTAGTCTTTTAGGCGACTGAGATTTATATGAATCCGTTAAAGATGTTGCCTGCTGGATGAATACTGTATTTGTCATTTCCTCAACCATTTTATTTATGTCTTTGTTAAATTATTGAATCCAACAAAGCCACGTCCTTTTTTCTTTAAATTTGCAGTGTTTGTTGTTACTGTGCAAAATAATCACTGAAAAACCAAATGTGAAAATAACATTTTTGGGCCTGTCCAAGAGTTAAGCAAAAATCATTAGGGCAAGCATAAAAGTAATTCAAATTTTACAAGGTAAATAAAACAATTATAAGCCAAACTATTAAAAAAGACTTATGCTGCTTCAACAACTATTGCCTACCAATTGCAAATATGATCAACATTATTAAGTCATTTCATATGCCTTTTAAGGTATTAAAATTTCATGTAGTGGTTAATTATAGTATTTCAAAACGAGTCTATTTTTTGCAGGCCTGACCATTTTGAACACTTGATTTTCACTTTTTTCACATCTTTTGGTAGAACCTGTGATAAAGTGTAATTAAAAAAGTGTATGTGATAAAACTAAGTCAGGTTTTCATTAGTTTAATAATTTAATTTTTTTTTTACTTATCCTTTATTTTTACACTTTTCTCATCCCAGTGTGTAAACGGTAGTACACATTTTAGTTGAGGGTGGGAGCGACCCTCGTAACTAAATCAGAACCTACTACCTTGTAGAAGTTAAGGGATCTACAAAGGCTAGAGTACCTTAAACGAAAATTAAGGCAGCTACCTAAAGAGCTGTAAGGGGCAGCCCCCAGACGGTTGTGCACAAGGCTAACAACATTAGTCATGTACAAAACATTAACTCACGAAAGCCAAACAAAAAAGTTAACTAATTCTAATGGAAATCAACCTATGCCTGGATATTGACATGATTTTTGGATTGCGACTTGAATCTTACTAAGCCTGTTAGAGCAGGAGCCTTAGCCAACCTTATATATCAGCTAATTAAATTTTTAAAAAAAGTTGCAGGAAATTTGATTGAAAAATGCAGACATCAAGACAAAAGACTACATCATATTTAATGGTGGCAACAACACTAACCCTCTTTGAATAGGATTTGCTGTGAAGAAAGACGCCTTATGTGTAGTTATAGGTTTTAAACCAGAGAATGAAAGATTGTGCTCTTTGCGTGTGCAAGGGAAAATGTTTAATATAACATTTATAAATGTTCCTGCTCCCACCGAATATACAGAAGGTCAGATAAAAGAATCCTTTTATGAGACACTTGAAAAGATCTGTGATAAGACACCACAACATGATATTAAAATAGTGATTGCCGAATAGGTAAAAAACTATTGGCAAGGAGACTCTGCTTGAAGAATCCAATGACAATTGAATGCGACTCATAGACTTTGCTTATGAAAAAGGGATGACAGTAAGCAGCATCAATTTTCCACACAAAAATATACATTATTATAGTACTTCGAACTCACCAGATAGAATCACTCATCACAACCAAATTGATCATGTTCTTATCAATCAGAGAAATGGATCAAACATACTATATGTAAGAAGCTATCGAGGAGCAGATGGAAACTATGACCATATACTTGTTATGTTTAAATATAAACAGATAATAAGCATAATACACAATGACCGAAATCGAAGAGAAAAGCGATATAATTACCACAAACTTACCCAAGACCCATTAAACACAAAAGCTTACCAAAATGAAGAAGCAGCACATCTAGAAGCATCACTGGATGAAATAAACAATAAAAGCAACATAAATGAAGAGTGGGATAAGATAAAAAAAATGCTATGAAAAGATCAGGAGAAAAGGTAGTAGAATTTCAGCAAAATAACAGTAGAGTAGGCTGGTTTGATAATGAATGCAGATAGACTATCGAAGAAAGGAACAAGGCACGAATGACCATGATTTAAAGGGAAACAAGAAATAAGAGACATGATTGTTTCTCTAAAAAAGATTATTGTATAACATCCTTATTTGTAACATACTTTTGGTTTTAGCTATTTTTGTTATAATTTTTAGTCTTCAATGCTAAAAATAATAGGGGAGGATGATTATCAACATATTGAAGTGTTCTCTGCTCGTTAGATGTTGTTTAGCTCTTTACATTTATCTGTATCTCTAATTATTTTCTCTCTCATATTTTTAGCCTAGCACTGATATTTTTTTTCTAGGTGACATTCATTTGCCAAATTTTTTTGTTGTTCTATAAAATGTTTCTATTGTTTTCTGTCCACTTTTATTGGGGAGGCGTCACCGGGGTATGGGGATGTGTCCGCTTTTATTTGAGAGACGTCGCAGGGGTGGGGATATTATAGGTCGCAATGTCACGCAAGGTGTAAGATCTGTTAAATTTACATGTTGTGGACTTTGAAGGTGTCCTTAACATATTCCTGGCCTTGAAACTGGAGTGTCTGCTATTGTAGGTTTTTAGTTCATGCTCATTGACAGGTATGCTAACTATAAGGCCAAAGAGTTAATTTGACATTGCACCTTATACCAGCTTATTGTCAAGGCACAAGCAATTTGTCTAATTTCCTGGTTCTGAATGTGATGCCTTATGGTTTTACCAGTTGCTCACCTTAAACATCACATGTCTCGAGTGAAGAAAGACATAATTAATTATCCTGTCTTTCGTCCTTCCCTATATTTTTGGGTATTTTACTAGTGGGAGTGGGGCTACTGACTGAGTTTGTCCTCTGCACTCTTGTCTGTATTTCTGTCCATTTTTCCAATTCAGCAAAAATGCTTCCCAGATGTTTAAATTCCTGGCATCAGGGCAGGTAACACTTATTAGTAACAGCTGATTTTTGGGTCCATTTTTTCTGGGATCTGACCACCATAACTAAACTAATTCCAATTTATTATCTATATTTTTTATACTGAGCATATATTTTCCAAGGGAAGTCTACTCAACTTCCAATAAAGTACATTATATTTAATTTTAAAGCTAATCCTACTTAGTATTTTGTTATTTTTAAGTCATTGTTCCAGTCTCCACTGTTGGGTCTTTTTTTTTTCTGTGTAATCCCTATTCCCATACATTATAAATTTTCAATAATTTTCTTGTCTAAAAATGTATAATAATCATCACATCTCAAATTTGATGAAAATATAATTTACAACTTTAAAAAAAAAAAAGTTGTCAAATTTGAACTGTCACCATTTTATTTCTAGTAGTTTTTGTGCTTAAAAAATAAGTTAATTTTTGCATAATGCAACCTAAAAAGCATTAGGATGCAACCTAAAAAGCATTAGGTTAGATAAAATTTGTCAAAAATATTGAAGGGTTTCCCATGCTATCTTTAAAATAAATGTGTTTACATTTTTATGAAGGAAACAAATTGCCAAAATTAAATTAGTTCTGTGTCATGCTGTTTCATTAAAAGCAAAATTGCCATTTTACTACTTTCTGTGCATCTGCCCTTTCAAGAGCTTGCACATGCAAGGTAAGTAACACTGTTTTATTTTTGAGTGACTTAATTTTAAAAGAGTAGTTACCCGCTGATCCCATGCTCTCGCTCATTTTGTCTCACATGCTTCACCTGACACCTTTTTGGTATTGCCTTACTCATTCTGACTAGTATCTCATAAATGACTATAGTATTCCTGTCTAAGCATGGGTTACTTTTTCTTAATACTGTATTATTTACTACCCCTTGTCTTGGATTGTGAATGTTTTATCTTAAGTACTATTTACTTGGATTGAAAAACATCTTTATCAGACTGTAATGAAGAAACTTTATTTCTTATTTAAGTTATGTTTAGTATACAACAGTATAACTTGAAATTTTCCTAGAATAATAGTTTTTAATTTTTTATTTTCAGGCCTTTGTGTAGTTCCTCTAAAGAGTTGGTGAAGGTAAATATTCTTAAATGTTTGTCTGAGTTTTTGTCAAGCATGCCAATTTTTAAAAATGTAATTTGGGAGAATCAGCTATTGATGGGGAAAATCGATAATTTTAAAGATAGTTTAAAAAAAACAAAACATTCCAACACAGAAATCAATGACCTAGCTCACTTATTTGTGGAAACTTTTTGCAAGAAGTAAGCAAAGAGACAATAGAAAATTATTTGGATATTTAGATATTGGAGGTTTATACATTTTTAAACATATTTTGTTACACTGATCCCAAGGTTGTAAATATAATTTATATTTGTTTCCTTATGCTTAATATGAGAAATATGAATTTCAAGAAGTTATTCATCTGCTGATTAAATGAAAAGCTGAAACTTGGAAATAAATAGAGGTCTTAATTTGATGTTGTATAGCCCTTTATGTTGTCATTTGTTGTTCTTTTTTAAAAGAACTTTTGCTTTATAACCTGTGAATTTTAAATTAGCTTTATTTTCTTTAAAACATCTCCCTTTTTTTGTATTATTGTGTGCAAAATTTCACCTTGCTATATGCAGATTAATCTGGCGTAATTTTCATATTATGAATATTTCTATTTTTATCAGTCGCTAATACTGGAATAATTTTTTCAAACAATTAGTTTATTTAATTAATTATTAGTTTAAAAAGTTGAAAAATTTAACATTTCACTAACAGAAAGTGAAGTTGGGTTGGCAATCTTTTCTGTTATAGGATTACTTCAGGAATATAAAGAAAGTGACACATTTTAAACATAACAATAATAATAAATATAATGTCTGAAGAGGAGCAGTGTGATTACACATTTAAACATGTTTTTAATGTATTTACACACTTTATTATTATTAAATACATTTGTTTCTTCTGGGATTTCATTTAGAAAAGTAAGAAACCCTTTTTCCAGATTTATCTGCTTAAAAATATTTGCACTTTTAATTCTTATGCATTTGTGTTGTGATTGCACTATTTCAGCATGCCTGTCAAAGTCTCAGATTTTGTTTTATCGATATATTATTTCTTTTCTTTTTAAAATAGTTAGATAGCATTTAATGTTGTTCACACTTGTCTGTCTATCCTAGCATGCCAGCCTACACTAATGCACGTGAGGCTGAGGCCCTTCGAAGAGCCAAAATGGAGCTCCAGAGCCTTCAGACTCAGTCCTGTATGAAAAGGCAAAAAACATCGGAGACCTTAAAAGATCTTGTGTCTTACTGCAATAATAATTTGAAAAATGATAGACTGGTTTATCCTGATAAAGTAAACCCATTTAAAACAAAGAAAATGTGTACAATTTTTTAAAGTTTTGTTCTTTCGAAACAAGGACTGATTTAAGGCAGTATATACTGAATTAAATTTATGAAGGTCATCTGTGGTTTTTTAAAGACTGTTGCTAACCACTGCTAGTCAGAAACTTAAAACATTTTTCAATCAACAATTAAGATCTTGCTTATTTTCATGGTAGATACAACAATAATAAAATAATTTGCAATATAGCTTTCTTTCTAATGATGCAATTTTAACCATTCCTATTTCATTAATTTTTTTCTCAAGTCTTACTTTTTTTTCTGGATGAACTGATTTGAAGCAAAAATAGTGTTTGGCACATACTAACAAAGCGCATTGAAATTTGCATTTAAAATTTCATTACAGCAAATGAGCCTGCTTAAACCCCTGTATTATAGTTACTATTGTAGATATATATAACCAATTATTAGTGATAGAATATCTGGAACTGTTAAACTTCAATAGAAATTATATTTAATCCTGATATTCATTCTAATATTTTAATAATTTCTCCACTCTTAATAAGATATAGCAATGAACAATCTATGTTATTTCAGTGCCTTAACTACACATGAACACATTAAAGCTGTATTACATAAATACTTAAAATGTTGAAGGAAAAAGGGGAACACACATTATTCAGTCATTGGTTTTGTTTTGTGAAATATCTGCACAAGGAAAATAAATGAGCATAAGCATAAAATGTTTTTAAACACTTTTACAACAATAAGATATTTGTGAATATATTTCCATGACTTGTGTAAAACGGTTTGCCTGAGATTATGTTAAAGTGATGAGAGTTTTTTATTTTTAAGTGGAGTTTGCTTTAATTTTTTTTTTTTTTTTAACTAACTTTAAAATAATATTTATTTCATCAACCCATTTGAGAAAACATAAGAATTGGGGCAGCTAGAAACATTTTTAAAAAGTTAAAAGTTTTGCGATTGGTAAATATAGTCCCCCCCCCCCTCATTATGCAAATAATACATGTTATTTTATGTTATTAAAAATGCACATCTTCAATGATCACGTTTTTAAATATTAAAAGAGATTTATAAAAGGTATTAGGTTGCAAATCTGGTATCTGTTGCCCTAGTGGCCTACTCCTTCTATTGGGTCATCTTGCACCAATTGACTTCATTTATGAATACGTTTGAAGCATCATATTCCTCACGGCACTAATTTACTAAATGGTAGTTGGGAATGGATAGTTTACTCAATAGCTCCACAATAGGGGCAGTTTTACATTCCTGTACCTATTTAAATATTATTTTTACCCTCTGATCTCACTTGAAGGCTATTCCATGTTAACTATAACAAAGGTGTTTTCTTGTGATCTGTAAATATTCAAATTGACTTAAAATTTTGAATATGCTACTTGACCCACGCATGAAAAGATGTTTTCTTTTGTTAGTCTGAAACTTTAAAGCACTTGGTAGATAAATAGTTAAAAATGCCTGTCAATGGTATTATTACTCCATCTGGTTATTGGGATGAGGGCTTCACCAAGTTGGTTGCTAGATCTTGTATATATCCAAAAATAATTTTTTAACCCTCTACTGATAAACTCATAAGTGTTTTTTAATCATTTAAAATTCTAAATGGCAGTTTTTTTATACAGTACTGAAAATTAAATAGTTTAGCAAAACATAATTATTTCATAATTGTGGAGATTTTAGTTGATTATAAAAGTGAAACATTAGATTATCAGGAGTGGGTAGTTAGTTTCTTTGATCTGGATAAATTACGTCATCTTAAAGCGTCTGCTGTCATTTTTATTTCAAAGGAATTTTAGAAAATTTAATGCAGTGGTCAGTTAGGTAGAAGCATTTTGCTTAGTAATTTTTACAATTACTCATAAGCTGCTATTGAAACTTTTCAGCTATGTAGCACATTTTAAAAAAAAAATTCATAATGTCAAAAAAGTTTTTTTCTTAAAAACGACATAATAAATCGACATTATTTTTATGAGTACATTGCTTTTTGGCATCAAATGTGTCTGCAATTGAAATTTAAATGACAAAACTAGAGATGAACTTTATTCTTGACAATAGTTGGTATAATAGAAAATGTGAATGTTAGATTACTAAAGAAAAAGGAGGACTATGTGATTATTATATAATTTCTTTTGCCTTAAAAAAACTGCTCATGTGATACTACTGACCAAGTTAATTAAAATTAATGAACAAATAGAATAACTGATATTTTTTTATTACTCCGTTTAAAAAAAAAAGAACTGGTCAACTTATAATTCTTCATTCACACCTGTTTGCATTTTTATTGTAAAGGATTTTTCTTTTTTAACTTAAATTTTTATTTGTGTAAATAGTAAACTAATGAATTAGTAATTAGTAATTTATATTCCAAAACTAAACAGCATATTTCTTAAAGATGTTTTTAAACAAATTATTTACTATTTACACATTTTTAATTCCCACACTTTGCTGTCCTTTTCGGCATGGTGTTCCTTTTTTTTCATGTTAAGAATTTAACTGTTCATTTTTCTCTGTGCCTTTATTTTTTTTTAAATGTATGTATTGTATATTGGTTTTTGTTTTCAATGGTCATTTCATAAATATATAATGTTTAAAAAATTGGTCTATGATTGATTGAATGTTGTGAACACCAATTGTAGCCCAATTTAAATATCATATATTTAACTTAAGCCTTAAACCAATTTAATGGTGTGGGGACATTTTAATAAACAATAAAATGCTGTGTGAACTAGGCGGCTGTATAAGTATAAATATATAATTATAATGAACTAATTAAACATCCTTATTAAATGAAACACATCCTTGTTGAGTTGATTGGTATTTTTGTACTGGGTCTTTTTAGTGATAACAAGGAAATCATATGCAGATGTTATTTCAGTGTCATCTCCTGACCAAGCACTCAAATTTATTTTTTATATATCCTATTTGTTTATTTTGTTTCAGTGTTGTTATAAAAAAAAAAAGGTATTCTGCTTCATTGTTGTTATAAAACTTAACTTGTTTTGTGTGTGTGTGTCTGGGACAATATAATTTTAAAGTTAATTCCAAAGAAAACATTTAAATGTGGCATCATAGACTTACATTGAATGTTAATACAGTATATACAAATTTGGCATAGAGAACTTGAAAAATGCTCTCCATAAAGATAATTATAACAGCATGAAAGGCCTAATTATTTTGTACTCAAATTTGGTAGAGATAGAATGTATATGCAGTGCTATTATTGATTTTCTTTTAAATATCTAGGAAACTGGTGTCAGGATAATAAAAAATCGACACTGCCATGGCAACAGAAATTATTATAAGGGCTTCCATCTGCATTTATTGATTTTCTCATACCACAATTCCTCTCGGTTAGACTTACAGATGCTACCTTTTCAGCATGTACATTGGGAGGTGTCCTGGAGCTTTTATTATTTGAATTTTTTGTTGTTGAGTTTTGTTTTTAATATTATTTTTTGTGTGTGTACATACAAGACATTCGTTGTCTCTTTTCTTTAAATTTAAATTAAAATAATGTTTAAGCTTAAAGGTAATGATGACAACCTTGAAAATGCTAACATACAAGTATAACAGTATAAGATCTCTTACAGAGCCAAACCCATTCCATGATATGCAGAACTATTTAGACTAATATTGTAGTCCAGTTTTAAATGAAAGTACTTGAAAATATCAGTTCTAGCCTTACCCTCCTGATGTAGGGGCATTTTTAAATGTAATTTGACAGTATAGCACTGCTATCTTTTAATCTTTTTTTTTTTCCATTCACAGTTTTACTATCTGGAACATCATCTAAAGGTGAGGTTCAGCAATCAACTGCTTTCCATATTTTTTCTTTAGTTTTAAATGTGATCTTTGCGAAGCATTATATCATTTAATTATACCCGTACGCAATTAAATGAGAATTTTGGATTTCAACAAAAATATTAGTGAGAATCTTTTCAGGTTTAAATGGTTTGGTCTGCCTGTTCACCTTTGTCAGCTGCTAAAATATCTGAGCCTTGAAATGTATGTCTGGGGGTCCCTCTTAATCCTTCCCAAATATTTTTTTTTTTAGATCCTTAGTGTATTTACATATCAATTTTAAGTCCATTTTTACATTGAAATAATTCGTATTTTGTGTCTAGAACTTTTGTGACCCATGATTAATATTAATAATTATTATTTTAGAAAATAACAATTATTATCTTTCCACAGGGTAACCATGAATAAATTCCAGGAAGGTCTGCAACAGCAGCGTCGACTTATTGAGCAGCTTCGATGTGAAGCTCAGATCACTCGCTTCAGAGTTTCTCAATGCATTGACGACCTGCAGAAGTATTGTGATTCTCATATTGAGGAGGATTACCTCATTAGTGGCTTTAGCAAGCCCAGTGAGAATCCCTTTAAAGAAAAAGGAAGCTGTGCAATATTATAAACATTTTTACTCTGTGTAAAAACATTCAATTTCATGGTCTGAATTCCATTTATCACTTGGATTGATTGCAGAAAATTGATGTATAGTATGCTTCAATTAATTTTATTAAGCAAAATTTTGGCAGTTTACTTTTTCAATTCAATTAAGTTTTTGGAAAATTTTATATTTTCCTTCACAATTAACTAATACGCAGTAATGGAGAAAATAGTTCGTCCTGAAAAGAGGCTGATTGATTTTGTCAAGTGTTCAAATCGATTTCATAATCATGCATTCATTAAAATTTAATATCTGTTTTCTTTCAATTTTACTGTAACCTCTCTTCATAGCTAAGGTACTATTGAGTTATTAAGAACACTTTTTAGCATGTCATGATTATTAAAAGTTCAAGGTAAATATCTCATCATATTTACCAATGATAAGTTCGTTCCATAATTTTAAAAAAAAAAAACACAAATTTAAAAAAAAGCGTTCCATAATTTGTCACTTTGTGTGTCAAAGCATATCTTTTTTCTAAATAAATGTCAGTTAAAAATTTAAGACATTTTTCCCTTACAAATTTATTGTAAATGTTGAGTATTGTGAATATTGTACCTTAAGAAAGGTCTCCCAAAAGAATGTATATTTATTGAGTAAATTATTCATCAATACTGGTATTTGTATGATGCTATTAATTTTTTTTATGGGGAGACATGAAATACAATGGGTTTTTTTAAGGTGTATTGGTAACCAAATAATGCTTTATACTACAAAATTATAGTTTAAATATTTAAATGAAGTGTAGAATATTTTTATTCTAAAACCAATTATACTCATACTTGTTGACTTAGATGAGGGGTTCTCAATCTTTTTTGCATTGCTGCAACCCATCTCAATTTGGAAACATTCTCCTCCTCCCCCCCTCCCAATAAATATTCAAAAAGCTAATAAAATTGCAAATAGATCAGATGTTTCTGTGTCTTTCCACATTGGCAGAGTCCCAGCACCCCTGTTTAACAACCCTTGACTTATGTGTCTTGACATGGCCTTCTTTGTGCTTTATTTACTTTGGGAAGTGTTAGTACATTTCAAATGTCACTCTTCCATTAAGAAGATATTACAAAGCTCAACATTTCTTTGTTACGGTACTCAATATTATTAATAAAGCAATCTGTTATATTGACTTCTAAAAAATACATTATGCCTTTGCAAAAGGAATGTAATATTATAAAACCTAGGGCTTAGCTGAGTGCAGTTTTTTTTACACCCGGTATTTTGAGAAATAGGCCTACAGATAGTCCTACACCCTACCTGTCGGCCTTAAAACAATAGTCCAAGAGACAGTCCTACTTAATATATGTGGCTTTTAATTATTTAAATAATAGTCACCTCCCCCTAAAGGAATTTTTTATACCTGAGTTCACATGTCATGCATGACAGCCTTTTTTTTCACTCAGTACAATTAATATAAAACATGGAATTAGGATGATGGCATGGCAGTATCGAAAAGGCAGCAGGACACCCCAGAAGCAAAATATGTATATGAGATTCTTAAGTATTAATATAAATATAGGCTACATACTCAATTCAAATGAATTTGTAATGCACCAAATTTTTTTAATCAATGACTTGCAATATAATGAAACTATTTTCAGCTCAAGTCATTTCCACCACAAAATGAGAAATAAAACTAAAACATATATCACATGGTAGTAAATAATATTTACCACAATAATCAAATAGTTACTAGACAAAATTCTTTGAATCAAGTTTCTCAATGCCTTTTTGGAGTAATAATATTAAAAACCTGAATGGCATTTAAATAGATTAATAAGACAGGAACAAATTGTGTCAATATAACAATATAAGTTACGCTTTAATAATAATTATACACAAGTAAATGTTTCGGCACATGCCTTCATCAGTACAAACAAAACACATTTAAATAAGTATAAATTAAATTGACATAATAATGGATATACATATCCTACCTAAAAAAGAAAATTGGAGAGGACGTAAAATCAGACAAAAACAAAAATTAAATTCTTACTACCGGTACATTAATTGTAAATATTGATGATAAATTTATTTTATTAATAATAATAATAGTGTGTCAACTGTCCTTAAAGAAAAAGATACAATTTCAGAAAGGTTATCTGGCTTCAGTTTTCTAAGAATTATTATTTCAAAATTTAAGTACTCATACTTGTAGTGGCAGAGTTCAATAGTTTTAACTAAAATTTCCATTTTAAAGGGGGACAGCTTATTCCAAGACATCCTAAGTTATCAGAAAGCCAGAATTACACAGAGGCAGAGTTCAATAGTTTTAACTAAAATTTCCATTTTAAAGGGGGACAGCTTATTCCAAGACATCCTAAGTTATCAGAAAGCCAGAATTACACAGAACCAGCAATCAAAAACAAAATGGCATAGAGTAGATTACAGTACAGTGGCTTTAAGTTGCTTATAAATTATTAAAATCAAATGATTTCAGAAAACTCCAAGCTTTGATCTGTAGATGTGACTCATTGGTTAGTCACCAATAATCAATCTATGGACTGTTGAGTCTAATTTCTCAGTGAAAGAAACAAAAGAAAACATTTTCTTGACCCTCTCCTTCCCAGCTTCACCCAGTGATTTTGATAAGATGCCATCTTCAACAAACTTGAGCATTTTCTGAGCAACATCTTCTGGGTCATTGTCACATAAAAAACCAGTATCACCATCTGCAACAGTTTCTAATGGCCCTCCACTTCGCATAGCTATAACTGGGCACTTCATATACATTGCTTCAATAGGTACAATTCCAAAATGTTCGTTTTCCGGGGTGTAGATTAGGCATGAGCTGGAAGATAGGAGAGTCCTTTTCTGATTATCACTGAAGGAACGAATTAAGGTGACCTTCCCTTCAAGTCCCAGTTTTTTAACAATGGATTCAAGTTCATTATAATGCTCAACATTTTCATCTACTCGTGAATCATAGCCGCCTGCCATAATAAGATGCACATCTGCATTTGGCTTCAGCTGTACAAGTCTATCTGTAAGAAAAAGATAAGTACAAGTCTATCTGTAAGAAAAAGATAAGTACTGTATATCAATCATAGAATTCTCATATTGAAAATAGAGGCTATCCATATATTACAATCATATCAGTGGAGGGGGTTGTTGATTTTGGTAGAAAGTACATTTACTGACAAATTCTGCAATTATCCTGAAATTCTGACAGTCCATAAACAGCCAATTTATAATTATATCTAATAAAGCCATCTATGACCTTTGGAGAGAGGAGGGGTGAAAGCTCATTTGCATGTATGCAGAAGGGGGTGTCCAAAAAAGTATGGGTGTGTAACAGGGAGGAGTGATGTGAAATTTACTTTTTTTTTTGGTTCCGTAAATATATAGAAAGCCCCATGGCTTACTTTAAATGTATAAAAACAATTAAGAAGTTTTACTTCGTTGGGCCTTTTTTAAATGGCCCTTTTGATTCATACCACTGACACGGATAATTTAAATATAGACCTCTTAAGAATAATACTGGTACCCGGTACCTAATTAAAAAAATTAGCTACCGACATAATATAATATGAGCCTTAAAATTCTTATAATTTAAATTACTTATTCCTATATAACAATTATACCGGTAATGCTAAATTTATTTCAGAAATTTATATTATCGGTACCGTATATAATTATTGACATGAATAATTACCCTACCCAAGGCATAAATAGCTAATTGAAGATTCTTTTTCCTTTCAAATCTGTTAATAGAGAGAAACACAATCCTTGCTTGCGTAGGTATTAAGTCATCTGTTGGTGGATCAGCTGGCATATCAAACGAGGAGAAATTTGGTATTGGGTAGAGAACTTCTGGTTGAATATGGCTCAGATGTGTAAATGTTTGATGAAAGACCTTAGCTGGAAGAGATTTAATAAATATAATGAATCAAAATATATAAAATAACGGTATATAAACATATTATTTAGAAAATCGAATATATACCTGAAGATGGAAAAAGAATGGAAATCATAACATCAATACATTTATTAAGGGTGCTGGGTGGCCGAGCGGTCTAAACTGTCTCAAACCAAATAGTTGGTGGTCTGGAGTTCAATCCCCACCAAAGCCAACATCCCAAGAACCCCCGGTATATGGGACTCGTTAGCCAGAATTACACAGAACCAGCAATCAAAAACAACCCATCTCACAGAAGGCAAACTCTGAATTTAAACCAGGAGCCAGAATGATCAACAAATAGATCGTGGGCCCCTCGAAGAAGGTACCATACCATAGCTGAATAATGTGATAAATAATTTTTTAATAATTGTAAACAACTGATTTATTTTATTAAAAGTTTAATTTCTGCTTTGGATTCTTTGAAATGTTCTAAAACTAAAATGCAGAAACCAAGAAATCATAATTTTATATTGATTTCAGTTTCAGTTCATTCTCATTTTCCTTTTGGAAAGGTGAAATACTTCTATTAAGAAAAGGCACAAACCAGGAATAGAAAGAAGGATCCGACTATAGCAGAATAAATAAATTTAATGTTGGACAGGTCAGCTAGAATCACTAGAGGTGAAGAGCAGATCAAGGCTTAAATTTAAATGGATAGATAATGTGAATCAGATCTACAGCAACATCATAGGATCAAAGCTTTGAAAAGTAAAACATCAGATTCATCTGAGTGGAAGGAAGTGATGAAGATGGCTATAACACCACAGGGATGGATTGATAATGGAATGAAAAGATAAGACATTCTTATCCTTAAAAAAAATTGCTTTGCTCAAGAATCGGGATTCTACACATGATACATACATTATACATTGTGATATTTTGGCTAAACGTTTTAACCACTGACAGAGATCATTGAAAATATTCAATTTTAGTGTTACTTTAAATTCAACTTTTATAAAAGTACCGGTAAAAGTAACTTTTTTATGGTACCCGGTACCAGTACTTATGCTTAGTTGAATGGGTATGCTCGTTGGTAGTTTTTGTACTGTTGCGTTTTGTGTTTTAATTTGGTAAAATATAGATTGTTTCATTTCTCTTTTAGTATGGTTGACTTTGTACCGCGCTTCGAGCCTTTGGGGATGAAGCATGATTTTTTTAAAATAAACTTTATTATTATTATTATAAGTTAAATAAGCTGCACACCAGTGACACATAAACCATCAACAACAGCACTACAGCCCATAGAGGGCTCTGGCCTGCACAACCACACCCTCTCAACTGGAAGCATCCATTTGACTCTAAGCAGATGAGTCTCCACATCCTCTCCACACAGATGAGTCTTCACCTCCGTCATGGTCCAACAATGAGGAAATGAATAAAGTAAAGCAAAGTATGTGAAAACCTGGAAAAGGAACGCAACAAAACAACGTGTCCGCAGGAAGCCTTCGTCAGCAAACAAACAGTATTCGAGAGGGCAGCAAAAGAATTGCACCTAACAGAAAATAAGTAGGTGAGAGATTAAATACCTCTTTAGGTTTTCACATGCTTATTTTTTACTCATTTAATATTTTTCTAACCTGATTGCAGTCTCTCCCCCTTATTACCATCCAACAATGAGCCTTGGTTTGTGTTCAGACATCACTTTTACAGCATTACAATCTGGCACGCTCTTTAAGCATCTGTCCAGCACAATCTGGCGGTTAAATTTCCACCTTGAACAACCGATATATTCTTGATTGCTGCGTGTCAATTATCATCAATAATTTAATTTTAATTCATTATCCTGTATAGGTTCATATTTCTCAGGACTTTCCTTTTCCGATTTAGTAACTAGTAGATATCATAGTTTCCTTGGGATGGATCCATGGTTCACTTGTGAATATATGACTACTGCTCTTATTATACTATACTGAGTTACAGGATATACATACCCGGTATTCTTTTAATTCCTTGTGAGCTTCTTATTTTTCTTTGGTAGACTAAAATAGAAAATTCCCTGCTGTTTTCCATTCCATATGTCATATCATTGTGCTCCTTTATTGTAGATCCCGGGTAATTAAATCATTAAATGTGATTACTATCTCTCAAGCATGTTTTGAGGTACTGGTACCTGTATGTCAGTCACATGATATTACCATTTACTTGCTCATCAACACACTCAACTCTATTCTTCCAGCTTGTACCACGGTGTCTTCAAGTTCATTAAATACACTACTTATGATGTTGCTGAAATTATTACTGCTCAGTAGAGGGTTATGTTTACATTGATTTTCGCTAACCATAAGAACATTTGGGAGTAAAATATTTCATGCTGGTTTGGATTTAAACAAATGTCTTACTATCTTATCTACTTAACACTTATTAACACTCTCTACTGAACTATAATTAATCATAAATAGAATTAACTCTTTTTTAAAAATGCAGCACTTGTTAACTTTGTCCCTCGGAAGTGCAACAATGCTGAAAACTTACTAAAGAGTTAAATACCAATACTCATTTTCTATTCATATGATTTACCAATTTGATTTCTGAGACTGAGTGCAGTCTGACAGCTATTGACCAGCAGACAATCATTTCTCTCATTGTCAGTATGGTACCAGTAATCATTTTATGAAGAGGTTTTGTCTTTTGGGAATAAATTTTATCATATTCTTCTTATTCTGTATTAAAAAATATATAGAAATAGAAGGAAAATACTGCAGTATTTTCATCTCTCTTTATAAAATGAAGTTTATAATTTTGATTTTTTAAAAATAGATTATCAATCAAAAAAGTAGAGCTGTAATTGTATCATCATTCTTACCAGTAAACTTGCTGTTGACAAGTACACAGTCAGCCATTCCTGTCGTTTTTTGTTCTATAAAGTCAATAGGAGCTCTGTATATTTTCTTTCCCAAACTCTTCCTTTGTGTCAGTAACATGTCGGGGAAATGACAGTAAAATATTATTTTGGCAGATGCTAACTTTAACACTGGTATGCAGGCTGAAATTTGATCAACAAATATTACATCAGCTTTGGATCCACATATAATGAAGTAGATGGCTGCAAAGATCATGCGAATATAGGCACATAATGCATAACATTTTCCAAATAATTTTCTCGGTAACCAGTCTCCTACTACTGTTACTTTCAATGTTCCATCTTTGGTTTCTTGAAAACAGTGTGATTTATCATGATGAGCCGTAATGAATTCGACTACGTGTCCTCTGGACTGTAAAGCGAGTGCGGCGTCAATAACCGCCCTTTCAGCTCCTCCAATACCAAGATCTGGATGAATAAATGTAACTTTTCCCATTACGTTTATACATATATATTAAAAATTTAAAAATAAAGAATTTGTAATTTTGTCCAGTATACTTTCTTATATGTCGGTTCGGTTAGTAACATACGTAGCCTTTAAATAACGAAAGCGGAAGTGGCAATTGGTACAATTTTCAACCAACTGTCGGAAAGTGAGAGACTATTCGCAAAAAAAAGTTTGCCGTCACCCCGCATGATTTTAAACAGAGATGTCCCAGGAAATCCCGAGCATTAACTTTTAGAATACAATTTTTTTTCTTTTTAAATTTCACTAAGCCAAAAATTGTTGTTTATGAAAGGAACTGTAAAATCTTGTTAACTTTGACATAAATTATAAAGCTCAGTAGCTCGAGTAGACAGATTCTGAAGCGTTTTCAAGTCGCGACCATAAAGGGGAAAATGGCTTTTAAATTTATTGAATTTTTGGAAAGGAAAACAAATTAAAACTAGATTTTCAGTGCCAGTATTATGTAATTTGCGACATATTTAATGCCATGACTGAAATTGTAACTCAAACCTAAAGACATCAATTAAAAAAGGAAACCGTTTAAAAATCACAATTTTCTTAGTAGGCCCTATAATATTGTTTCAGTCGGTGACCCCAGAATAATCCCTTCACAACCCATTTGAGATCACCTACCAAGGGCTGCAAACATGCTGTTTACGTGGCAAACTGTATTTGTACGATATTACTAGCTAATATACACGGAGTTTCCCGGGATTGCATTCGGAAAAAACAACAACTTATACAGCCTTTTACTTTTAATTAACAATGAAATTAAATGGCATGTAATTAAACACAAACACAACGCTATAGTAAAAAAAAAAATTATTTGTCTCCTATAAAAACACATTTATAATAACTTTTGTAAACCTTTCGTTCTCGATTCCGGAGGGATCCCGATCCCGTGGGATCCTGTTCCCTGGAGGGATCCCGATCCCCTGAGAGATCCCTATCCCTGAATGGATTCCGTTTCCCGGTGGGATCCTTCTCTTCGATGGGATCCAGTTTCCCGATACTATCCCGATACGGGATTGAACTTGATGGGATCGCGTTACTGGTGGGCTCTAGTTTACTGTTGGATCTCGTTCCCCATTAGGATAGGGTTGCCAAATACGTGGACACCAAAAGGAGGACATAATAAAACAAAAAGAGGACAAAGGAGGACATTTTGAATGTTTCATTCGAGTCGTCCCGGATTAAACTCACAGTCAGCACAATTTTATAGTTATAGCTGCCAATCAAGTGTATCTTACTCTTAGTGAATCGACCAAGAAACAGTCACGTTAAAAAAAAACAAATTCAATGGACGCATTTTTCAAAATGTCAAAAAAATCATTTAAATAGCCAATTGTACAATTATTACCATATAATCTTTATTAATTAAATGACATATTTCTCGGAGGAGACAACTTTTCGCAGAAGATCCTCGTTAGCAATCACATATGCATAAAACTGTTCACAGGTAAGATTCTTCAAATTGTACTTTGTAAGAATGATGCCCTTTACAGAGTCGAGTAAGAGTCTATTCCTTTCCTTTGTCCATTGAGCATTAATCAAGGAGAACACTCTTTCCACATTGGCATTGTGTCCAGGGATACAGAAGAAAAATTCACAAATTTTAAGTAACTCTGAAAAGCAACATGCACTTGGGCAACTTTGGAAAAATAAACTCCACTGTTCATGCAAGAGTCTTTAAAGAAACTGTTCATTTTTGTCTTGTACAAATGATTGCAGTATTGGTCAAACAATTGTACATCATCTACAATAACACCCTTCTCTTTCAGATACAATATGCATGCCAAAAGGTCATCAAATTTACAGTCTTTGATTTTATCTAAGTACATCCAATTAATAAAGTCTTCTCAACATCTCCCCGACTTTCAGTGAAATAAATGTCTCCTTCAATCTGTTTTTCAAAACTTGCAAGGTTGTGTGAAGAAGGCTCATAACCTCTAATACTGATGTTTCTTCTCTTTCAATGAATGCAATATTGACTTGGAAGACAGACATCAAGGAATGCAGAAACCAAAGGAAAACTTTTGAAAAATCGTTCTCATTTTTTTTTATCATAGCAGTTGGTTGGTTTACTGAAAGAAAATATTCTTTCAAAGCAGTAAACAGCTCTAGCAGCCTCTCAACAGCTGGAAACAAACTAATTAATCTGGTTTTAGAGTGATACAGTAGTTGCTGATAGTTAAAGTCAACATAGTTACAAAAATCGTTTTAAAGTTTCTGTTCTGACAGTGTATATAGAAAAGTGATTGAATATCTTCAAGACAATAGTTTCAACGCCAATCTGCATTAAATCTGCGCCATGTTGGATGCAGTTGTGCAGAACGTGAGCCGGACATCCAACGCATACTAATGGCTTGCTCAAGACTTCCTTCAAATGCGAAAACACATGTTTACCTTCTTTTCTGTTAATGCCTTCAAAATTTACATTTTCATTGTCACCATCAAAAGCAATACATTTGGAGTACAGATCATTGGTGTGTTGTCTAAATCGAGCATCTTAGTTTGGATTCAACCTGCCTTCCAGTCAAAGTTTTGAACAACGATCGGAAATATTTTCTGCGAACCGTGATTGCTAGCACTGCTGAAAGACCAAAATGGGAAATGCCACCTAAAGAATTACCCAATTGATCAACAGTGTGGGGGCCAAGTACCTGGTTTATTATTGCTTCAGTCTCTGTTTTTGCACAAGCAATATATTTAGCGATTCCCGAATCTTCAAATTATGTGTGCATCAAACCAGCTGTGCAGGTCATCGAGTTGTAAGATTGATGATGACAAACTGTATGAAATGTCAAAGTTGCTTCAGCCGCACGTGCTTTCAACAACACCTTTGAATACTTAGGCTGAAAAAAATACGTCGATTTGTTTGATGACGAGGAAACTTTTATTAGGTTTCTATGTCTCAACTGTCAACATGGCGCTCCAAGTCAGTAGCTCCTTTGTTGGTAACGGACAAGTAACTATCGCAAATCGTACACTTTGTCTCACTCTCATTGTGTCCTTCAACGAAGCAAGGAAACTTATTTTTCATAGTGTTCGAGAATTAGCATTTTCTCTTTGTCATAAAAATAGACGGCAAAAATTACAAATTTAAAAAAAAAACAATTTAAATTTGCGTCTTTGTTACCCGAACCTGAAATAACATTAACAGTTTGACCATAGATAATAAAGGACAGAGCTAGATTGTTAGAATGACTAAAATCGACTGGTTCGCAGAAATGCATAGACTTTGTACATTGTAACAACGTAAACGTACGATGTAATAGTTGTAACAACGTTACATACACGTTATAATGTAAAATGAAAGAAAAGCCGGACATTTTAAAATATTTTAGCTTTGCCTGCCGGACGGAGAATATTGAGCCGGACGTCTGGAAACCCTACATTAGGATCATGTTCCTCGGTGGGATCATTATAAAATGTTGTCAAATATCGACCAGTGGGGCTCTGAAAATTGTACAAAACATGAATTCAAGTATCGCACTTAATAAGAATCTCAATTATTGCGCCCCCCCCCCCGACGTCATTTGGTTAGGGCCGAGGGGGGCATTTGCCCCCCCCCTCCTAAATTTTCAGGTTTTAATAAAATTGCTTTAATCTTGAACTAATAGACAGGACAATACGATTTGGACGTTTTGGTTTAAAGCATTCCTCATAAAACAAGACACATAGAAGTAAGACGAGGCTCTTCTGTCTAATTACCCCCAGTTTCAACTAAAAATTCTATTTAACTCTATCAATCAGGGGTCTCAAACACGCGGCCTACAAAGATATAATATGAATAGGTCTATATGTGAGATGATTTTTGATTTTTAAAAAAAAAATCATGAAGGTAAACTTATCCAACCAAGAGCATATTTGTCTTGCAGGAAAGGCACTGGTAGAAGTGGAATCCTTCAAATACTTAGGCAGCACCATAGACACAAATGGTGGATCCGATGTGGACGTAAGGGCCAGAATGGGAAAAGCTAGATCAGCATTTATGCTGTTAAAGAAAATATGGGAGTCGAAGGAGCTGAAACTGCAAACCAAAGTCAGAATCTTTAATACAAATGTAAAAACAGTCCTACTATATGGTGCAGAAACTTGGAAAACAACAGTGACCCTTATGCAGAAAGTGCAGACATTCATAAACACATGCCTTAGAAAGATCCTGAAAATCAAATGGCCAAATGCTATCACAACAAAGATCTACTAGAAAGGACATACCAGGTGCCCATTGATGAAGATATCATAAAGAAAAGGTTGAGGTGGATAGGGCATACGCTCCGAAAACCCCCCAGATAGCACCACCAGAGAGAGAGAGAGAGAGAGAGAGAGAGAGAGAGAGAGGGAGAGAGCGAGAGAGAGAGGGAGAGAGAGGGGGAGAGAGAGAGAGAGAGAGAGAGAGAGAGAGAGAGAGAGAGAGAGAGAGAGAGAGAGAGAGAGAGAGAGAGGAGGCTTAAGAAGGCGTAAGTAAGTAAATATATTGGAGATAAGTAATATGGGAGTTATTGCTTATAGAATATACAGATTATTGGGACTTGAGAAAAAACTGGCCAATCAGAGGATAGCAAGCAAAGAAAAATAAGATGGAAATAGAATCAAATGGGTGGTTGAATTCACGAAGATATATAATTGAACAGTTTATAATGTGTTGATACATTATGAAGTTTAAGAAGTAAAGAATATTATCCAGAGAGGCTAGTAATTGAAGTATTGAGATTAATATGATATTAGTTCCAAGTACGTTAGGATTTTCATGAGATGTATTTCGTATTGTGATTGCATTTAATAAAATATTAGTTACTATTACTATTTGAACCACTTTGCCTCTGTTATGATTGATAACGAGATAGTGATTGTGACAGCCGGGACTACAAATGTAAAATAAACACACATTCCAATTATTTCCGCAACTACAAATGATTCCCAGTTCAATTATAAGAGGGTTGGACTGCGATACATCTTTTAAATATATTAAATAGACCCAAACATTTAGAAAAAATACAAGTTTAAATGTTTCGGTTAATACCTTCATCAGCAGGTCTACAACAAAATATTTATAAAAATTTTAATGACATTTTTCATAATATAAGTATAGGAT